ACCCACCTCCCATTCCTCTGCGGGGGCGGCGTCCCCCTGCAGCCCTTCTAGCTCGGCCACCCAAACCCAGGAGAGAGAAAGATGGAGCAACATTCTGCCTCTGCGAGACGGGAAAGCGCCAGAGAGCCCTCCAATGACACTGCCCTTCTGCTCGCCGTGTCCCGCGGGTGCGCCAGCGCACAGACCCGACAGCGACGTTCAGCCAGGACAGGAGGTTTGGTAACCAACTGCAGGCAGAGAACCTGGCAGACGCTGCTGAAATGCCTCCAATCAGGAGAAGATAAATATACAGAGAGAGTAATAAGAGAGACTCCAACCCATGTTAAAAAAAATAAAAAAAACCTCAAAACTACGGTGTTTGAGCTCCTTCCTCGCCAGGCGCAGCCTGCTGCAAGCGGCGATGCCCAGAACGGGGCCGGTCCCGCGGCCGCCCGGGAGAGCCGGATAAGCGGCGGCTCCGGCTGCGCCCGCTCCCCCCGCGGCACCACCAGGCCGGGAGCGCCGCGGCTCCGAGCGCAGCGCAGGAAGGGGCTGCAGAGCAGAGTCCCGCACGCAGCGCCCTGCGCGGCCCGGCTGCAGGGCTGCTCTGCTCCAGGAAGCCCCAGGCAGGTGGCAAAGCCGTCCCGGGGCTGCAGCAGCGCGTCCCAGGCCACGCAAACCGCCGCTAGCACCCGGGACAGCCCCCCGCGCCAGCCGGGAAGGTCTGGCAGCTCCTCGCCGGAGCCCTGGCGTCCCGCGCATCCCGGACAGGGCGGATCTGTGACTGGAAGCGACAGGCTCGAGCTCATCCCTACTGCTGCAGAAAGTTCCTTTCAGTCACCACAGCTGCCGAACACCAGATTCCAGCCCTGGGGAACACGAGCAGCCCATCCACCAGCATCCCACACTCTGCTCCCCTTGGAAAAATGCAAACCCAGAGGCAGAAAAGCATCAACTGGCTCCAGATGAGAAGTGGCTCAAGGAGCCGAGAGCCCCACGAGGAGCAAACAGGCAGCAGAGACACGGAGCACGATGAGGTAGCCCCAGCACGTCGCACCCGGCCGGGCTCCTCGGGGCACCCAGCGCCCCAGCTCCGCGTCCGTCCCCAGGGCCCGTCACAGCAGCTGGAACCCAGCGCTC